ATATGGACAGCGTAGTTGAAAAAAGGATAAATAGACTATGCAGTTGTAAGCAGGATTGGTAACCTATGTATTGTAAACAGGATTGGTAACCTATGTAGTTGTAAGCAGGATTGGTAACCTATGTAGGTGTAAGAAGGATTGGTAACATATGTAGTTGTAAGTAGGACTGATAACATATGCAGGTGTAAGTAGAACTGATAACCTATGGTGTAAGAAGGATTGGTAACATATGTAGTTGTAGAAAAGATTGGTTACCTATGTTGTTGTATGCAGGACTGATAACATATGCAGGTGTAAGTAGGACTGATAACATATGCAGGTGTAAGTAGAACTGATAACCTATCTAGGTGTAAGAAGGATTGGTAATCTATGTAGGTGTAAGTAGGACTGATAACCTATGTAGGTGTAAGTAGGACTGATAACTTATGTAGGTGTATGAAGGATTGGTAACCTATGTAGGTGTAAGAGGGATTGGTAACCTATGTAGTTGTAAGCAGGATTGGTAACTTATGTATTGTAAGCAGGATTGGTAACCCATGGAGTTGTAAGAGGGATTGGTAACCTATGTAGTTGTAAGAGGGATTGATAACCCATGTAGTTGTAAGAGGGATTGGTAACCTATGTAGTGGTAAGCAGGATTGAAAACTTATATAGATATAAGTAAGTCTGATTACCAATGTAATTAAAAACAGGACAAGTTACCTGTGTCATTTGTAAGGAGACTGATACCTACGTAAAGGTACGTTTAATATATACAATAGCAATATAGTGTTATACACGTAACCCTCATTTCACAGGAACTAATGCAAAGTGTCTACACGATATTACAGTGTTTCCAATTTCAGTTGTTAAACTTACACATGCACAATATAAATATCTGGTTGGTACATGTGATAAGTATATAGGATTCACTAAATACACGAGAAATTGACACAATGATAATGTCATAAAAGGTATTCAGGGTTTTAATGATTTTGAAGAGTGTGACCTCTATTTAGATTGCTTGTATGATGAAAAAATATATTTATATAATTTTATGAAAAGTTCGTGTAATGTGTTATCTTTAGCCTATCCCTTGAAATTCTCTTGGAATGTATTAAAAGAGGGTTTCGATTGCAACAGTAAGATAAGACTGGAGTATGACATACGTTAACATCACACAAGAGCCATGCATCATGTTTGATTACATCGTCCAATTACTGAATTGCTTATGCAACTGCAATGTGATGCCGGTATACTCCTTAGAAAGAAATAAACCAGTCGAATAAATCATATTTAATTCTTTCTATATTATTCCACTCGTCAAATTACAAAATAACATCCTACATCATATCTCCGTTATTTTCATTTTGTATACAGTACAGACAATGTCGATATTGATTTTAGTAGGTTGATATTCTCACAATATATTACTTTCCTTATGACATATTTGCTTTTCATTTTCAATTGAATCACAAATCATCTCAATCACCGCGAGGGAAAACTGTGGAGCTCCGTGAGCCTAGCGACGCTGGCGGAGATGTAATCACTTTCCGCGCTTTGTTGCTGAGGCTGTGTCGGATGCGGAAGCTGCCTGACGACCACCGACGTTTATGGCTTCAAAAACGCAATTAATGATCCAGTGCTTCAGCCCGGAACCCTATTTGCATGCTAGTTATGGGCTTTTGAGACAATATTAGTATAAATTATTTCCGTATCTGACGTGTTATATATAATACACGAGTTTAAGGTTAGAAATTGTTTTCGTTTGTGCTAACCAATACATGTTTGCGTCATCAGAATCGTTTTTTAACGAACTTCATTATGATAGCAAATGTATAGCAATATATACCATTGATATAATATAGCATTAAGCTAATTTAAAAACATGAATTTAACTATAATCATTATGTACATTAATGATTTTTTTCACGTGGACTCCTAACCTACTGTTAAACCTAAAACCTGTAATAGTATTGTGAGTAAAACGTTATATATTTATTGATGTATTTGCTTTCATTTTGTTCTTACTACACTATTAGCTTAGCATAGTTCGACATAACCATGCTAAGGTACAAGTATGGCAGTGTCGTTTGTTACAAATGATACATGAAATTAGTTGTAAGTCACATCGGCGCATCATTTATGTCCAAATATGTATCAATCTATAATTGTGCAGCATAAATGTTCAAATGTATCAAACTATAAATGTTGCATCATATATGTCGAAATGAGTATCAAACTATAAATGTTAAAAATGTCTTCTACCATGCTACAAATACATCTAAGTTGACACGACTGTATCTATAGAGAGTTCTCTATGTCGGAGTTGGTTAATTGGAATAGAAGAAACAATTTTCGGAACACGCGATTGAAGTTAAGTTTTAATGAACACTCCATAGAAAATTACAAGGTGTGGATTAATTCCCTTCATGCTTACTTATTGATAATATAAGACATTAACAAATTTAAAAAAAACAACAACAACTTCACAATCATTCATTTGAAATCAAGGTTAATGGTGAGGAGTGAATTAATCATTTGTCTGTAAAGACACAATTAGTTTCAACTAAATGTATGTATAAAGATAACAGAAAGTTTGCAATACAATAATTTCAACTGAACTAAAATAAGTTGAAACCATTACAAATTATATCTGCAAAATAATTAGGAAAACTCATAAAGGTAAGAGTAAATTGAATATATATTATGAAATGCATTTGAAATATTTTATCCATTTTGTACTGGGTTATGCCGAAATAAACGTAATTCGGGTTACAAACTCAACCACATATATACATTACTTAACCATAATTATAACAATAAAATTACAATAATTACGCCTAGTATAATGATAGTAAATCATTATCACACTGCTTTAATATATTGATACCAGTTACTGATATGCTGTTATTCTATTCTGATCGTGACATTTCCCTTTCTTTATAGAAACATTCATGATCCCCTACATACGGTATTTACATGTCGAAATTAATGCAGGGCTCAAGAGCTAGCTCTAAATATTACGATTTCCGTGAAAGTTATCGACTGCAGACGGACACATATATAACACAAGGTTTCCGAGGATACCAGTCGATGAAGAATATGGAAAAGTTTCAAGGGCGCCTTCAGGATCTCGCAGAGAAATATGTTTTTTTTGTTCATACTACCTAGGACTTAATTCCTAGTTTTATAGATTATAAGTCCGAATTATTGTGTAGTTGACACTTCGGTATTCTCTAACAGGATCTATGGTTAAATGATTTTTACTCATCCTCTTTGAAAATATGTTGTTTCATGTTATTATACCTCTACTTAATTTACTCTATGTAAAAGTAATTTGTTAAATCGAATATATCCCCACTTTTGCCTGACTGTGTTTTAGTCCTGTGTGTTAGTCTTGGAACTAAAACACACCTACACTCGAGTGTTACCGCCGGGCCAATCAGACGAGATGTGTGCGGAGCTTGTTACCGAACTCGGAAGCGACGCGCGAGGTGGGCGGAGCTTGCTATCGAACTCGGAAGCGACGCGCGAGGTGGGTGGAGCTTGTTACCAAACTCGGAAGCATTTGGCTCCATTGTCATCAAAAGGGTAGTTGGGACGTGAAGCTATACAGCTTATGGTTTACAAATATTTTCTAGTTAAAACTATCTCTCCAGTGTGTATCGGTATAAAAAACGGTTAAAGTATGGGGTTGAGGGATATAGCAAGTTTCTGGTGTCCCTTGACCATGCCTATTTCCCTCGGCTTCGACTCGGGAATTAGACCTGGTCTCGGGACACCAGAAACTTGCTATATCCCTTAACCCCATACTTTAACTGTATACTAATACCGACACCCCTGCTATTTCATGTCAACTCTGACACACTCACTATTTCATGCTAACACCGACACCCCTGCCATTTCATGATAACTCTGATACACCCACTATTTCATGCTAATACCGACACCCCTGCTATTTCATTGTGCTGTGACATGACGTATATCAAAACTGAGAAAACGGAATAGTGTTTCAAATTTTATAATACAACGAACGTAATCCTCCCGAAGTGAGATAGATAAAGAAATATTCTATTTTCGTGAATTCACTTTCAATATCAAATATCAAACGAACAAGTTAGTAATCAGAAAGGATATGTATCAGAAACAAACATAAAAAGTTTGATATTCCGTTTCTCACATCAAATGAATAATAACCGTGATAAAACACATTCAAAAACATTCTTTATGGAGAAAATAGACCACGAGCTGGCAGTGATGAGACACTTAACAAAGTTTGGGAGAAATGCGTATATTTTGAATTATAAAAGTACAAGTCCATCACTTTCTTTATTATTACATTCTACAAATTATAAGTAACTTTATCACATAGATATCCACATTTTACCTACACAGTAAAAGAAATAAACAAGTACTGTCAATGTGTCTGACTTAAACTAAGAAATTTGTTAATATCGCTATCAATATGTCACACAGAAAAAAAACAAATGCATATCTGTATATCTACAATATCTAGCACCAGGAGTTACCAGTAATCTATCAGTCGTGCCCATTTGGTCGTCTGGGCAGTGGCGATATGTCTTGTTAAGTATTATTATTGACAAGTAAACTTTCTAAAAACAGCAGCGTCTGTGAAGTAAACAAATGCCTTTCCATGAATAACAGGAACACATGAGACAAAGGCCTATGATTAATCCTGTTAAACAATGATGTATGATGTTACCAAACAAGTTTACAGTTGTAAATTGATTCTATTACGACTTCCAATGGGCACAACAGCTAGCTAGCCGAGTGATATGAAGCGATGGAACGGAGGATAGTGCATTAGTTACATGTCACGTTCTTCCTTAACATACTTTAGTATCAATTAAAGTGGCCACCTCACTTGAATGCTACAGCACAGAAAAGGTGGAAAATATGATCGACATGGAGTTAAAAAAAAGTAGGGATAATGTATATCACTATCACAAGTTTTGTAATACCACAAACATAAAAAAAAGAACTAAAGGCATACTTACATCAACATTTCGATAGCCTCGTCCGATTTAGGCACATGGTGTCTTTGGCTGGTCAGGAACAATCGGTAGTTGATTTTCTTGACGATAGATTCGACAGCACTAGCCTCCAGCACACCAACACGTATATCGAACATCTAAATGAAAATTAAAGTTTGCTTTCCTTTAAACAGTTGACAAATATCAAGTATGGCCTTTAGGTACCTTACAATAAAAGTGTTTTTCTTACATCTATATTTGCATTTATGAACATAGGTATTCAATACAAGGAAACAGTTATAAAGGTGTAATATTCAACACGTTGTGTTCTTAGAAATACAAAGCGGACAATATATGTAACTACAATCTAAACATGAAGATCAAACAAAAACTATTGAATGTAGAAATCATGTTTTCTACATATCAAGGGTACATGGTGCGAATATCCCTGTCTCCACTATATCTAATACATCTTTTTACATATATATGTATAATACTACATTAGTATTGATTGAATCGTTTACGTTCCTCATCCACAATAAAACAAATAAAATGGATACATATGTAATTTTAAAGACCTAATAATTATCGTAAACAACATCATGCAGTTAAGAGACATGCCCTAGTTGCAAGTATTCCAGTTATTTCCTTAAAAGTTGTCATTGTAAAAATAACGACGTCAATCGAATAAGCGTGGGGGAAAAAGAGAAAAAGGGGCAGACAATTTCATATGTGGACATTTTGCGTTAACTGACGTATGAATCAAAACAATCACGATCTGATAGCAATTTATTGGTTAACCATTCAAAACGAAAAGGGTAATCTAATGGTGAGTTCGGCATCCACTGCCGAAGTCATACCAAATGTATACACACGCCTTATCAAACAAGTTAATGACTTTATACTCAAGTAAGCAACTGTGCCAACAGCGTTGCTCACAAAGTGCGAGTGTTTTACTAGTTTTAAAATACGCAGCTCATAAATATCCATTGATCGGTTGTTATCCATACATGCATGGTTATACATTGTGTAATTGTAACATTTACTATACACAGTGGTTTACATCGCCGAAGATAGACTCTGCTCACCATCTTTATGTATGATCTAAATGCGTTTGGGTATGAACAAGGTCTTTAAGATAGTCTATCAAAAGGGCTTCTTATAATATGTTACAATGATATGTACTTTGTTATCGGAGAAAAACAAGCATATCTATAGCATAATGTACAATAAGATCATTTCAATACATTCTGACTGAAATATTGCAATGATGATCACTGTGATTGTAACTCAGTTTATTTATTTCATTACTCGGCTCTCATAGTTATCTTTGGTATTGGATTGAGTATCCCTTCTGCCATTTATTTTGACACTGTGGCGTATAATCGTCCTGTTTAACGTTTTTTATTCATTTTTATTCGATGCCCTATCAATATACTGTTTAAATGATAGAACAGTTTTGTATTGTTATTGAGCTTACACTATCTTTGCTGTTTTTAAGAAAACGTTGTGTCAACAATTTCCCTACTCGTTCATTTCCCTTACATACGCGACTCGTGACAAGACATTCAATGTGTAGGAATTGTTCTCCTACTATATATCACGTACAAAGCGCCTTTCTAAAATAAGGCTTGAACATTTATTCTCCTTCCGTTTTATCTCATTTAACCTTGAGTCAACTGCCACAGTTAATTCATAGCAGATATTTGCATTTAACTTGACAAATGTGAGTTGATTTTTAAAATAAACAAATTTTAGCAAGATGCCTCCAAAATCGATTTTGCTGTTTTCTCTCAAATGAATTTGAATTGGTTCTTTAAATGATTGAGAATAAGACTAAAACCCATTTGGACATTTGTGCATCGTCATATAACTGTCAAGAAAACAAAAGATTTTTAATAAAGATTTGTGAAAAGAATAAACTAGTGACCACAATGCAAAGCAGAACTGTTTAGCCAATCAGGTGGCTTTGTAAGTTTTTTGAATCTGAGCAGGAAGGTCAGGTGTATATATTTTGAAGAAAACTAATCTAAATACTAGGCAAATACGAGGAAGATTGAAAACAACTTTTATTACTCTTTATGCCTGATAAAGTTCAAAACGTGGTAGAAAGCACACAAACAGAAAAAAACATGCTATTTGTTGTCTTAGATTAGTGTTAAACTTTTACATATATATAAATATATTTATCTTTGAAGGTATAACCTATTTTAAACAAACTTTGAGTATCAAAAAAAAAGTGAAATGACATTGAAAATCTAAAATAGAAACGTATAATTTTGGGGAAAACCCCCATTTGGCTGACTACAAAATCCAATTAGAATTCATCCGACACCCGAATGGGTGAAGGATCTTTCAAAATGTAGAAACATGAGCACTGTATGTAGAAATTACCCAGATTCGTGTTACATTACACCCCAATCAAGTATTGCACTTTAAAGATAAGGATCAATAAACTCCTGATCTTCGGATGGGTATGGCCTCTATATAACTCGTTAATTCATTAAATAACTGTACAAGAAATATTTGTCATCTGCGGAGAGCACAACGTTAAGTGACAGTGCAGGTATCGGTACGGATTGAGCCTGATTTTATTTTATTTAATTCGAATTACACAGTTTGTTGAAATATAACCATTATCCCATGTGTTCGCATAAGTATGATCAAAAAAGTCAACAGATATCAGAAAATATTTCTTTTCTTTTTTAAATATAGAAATTCATCAATATGAGGTAAAAGTGGAATTTACTTGTGTTTTCATCAAACAATACATCTCTTCAAACATACAAAAATAAATTTCTACTATTAAACTGGATGGATTCATTCTGCACTTCATTAACGAATGAGTTATAAGCAATTTTCATTCATCATCGATGAACTTGTATGCATTTGCATAGAAAAAGCCAATAAGATTATCTTTAACATAATTTATCTATAATGATATTCCATGCACGTGCACAGGATAAGCTTGTCAATTAATTAGACTGATATAAAAATAAACGTAGTCAGCGAAGTGTGTTTATCGGTATTTTCCCAGTGAACAAGGGTTATATTGGTGTCGACTTTGAATCGTAGTGTTCATTCATTGTTCGAAACGTGCCGAGCCATTTTACAATGTTATCCCCTTGACAATGTCGTTTGAATAAAAAAAACTTATCACTGAAGTGTTGGCTGTCAGGATATCTGATTTTATCAAAAACAAAATGAAATATCTCCTCAATGACGTAAACGTCTCATTCTAACTGATTTTATATTAAGTCGGTTTTCAGCCTGATGAATACAGCAACACACATCTATTCATCGGGATAACAGCATCAATCTATGTTTCTAAAAAGAGTGGTCATTATTTTCCGCTGAGCCGTCATTAAGTCTATGAACGGAGGTTATTTTCTCGTGCTAAGATGTCCCTTCTCATTTCCACAAATCCTGCGTCATCAGGAGCAGGACACATTGCACCGCGAATGACTCCCCCTAGTATTACACGATACCTTATCTTTACGCCAGTGGGGCCAATCCCAGTAATACAGTCTCATTTGGTTCTCGTGCTAACGCGAATCCACGAGATATGGCATGTTTGACAAATTAGGAGAGAGAAATAAAACCCATTCGATATCACAGGAACGCTTGTTTTTTATGGTTTCTAATTACTAAATGACATGTAAAGTTGACTTAAAATTTGGATAGCTTGCATGACTCGAGAACATTTGAGCTAAGCTGGGGTTTTATTGAAATAATCGAATATGACCGTTTCTTGATCGTGGCCTCATGAGCGGAAGAGGCAAAGAGTTGATTGGCGGTACTTTTACCTAACGAGCATTGCAACTACATGTTATTACTTGTGAGGCTGTAATACAATGCAACGTTCGGGGAACACATAATAGACGATTTGAGCGGAGCCTATTGAACTAACCATGGCAGTGACATACATCTTTGTTATACATGTAAATAGAGCTCCATCTCATGGGAAATTACACACAATTTCATGCGTTTTTATCACCACAAATAAACATGTATCTGATTCTTGTCCGTCTTCTTAAATTGGATGATGTTCACCGACACTTTCGATTACTCTGGGTAGGCATATGTATTGTGTTAAAATGTTTAATTGAGAAAAGCACAGCTGTGCAGTCTTCATGTTGTGTGAGGACAAACAAGCGACGCCGCGCACGATCATGCAATTGCGCGTGATCTGGTGCAAAGCCAAGCATTATATCAAGTATTTACCATTGACAGACTGACGCACATCTATCACTGCTCTCAATTAAATGTACTGCTCCAGCCAAGCCGACATTTGGGCAATTTTAACTTGAGCGGAATGTCAATCCCAATACAGGTTGGTTTATCCTGCTTTCTATCAGTGGCGGACACGGAATGGAGAAGCTATGGCGCTAGACAATACAGTAGATAATATGACGATGCGTGACTGTTCACTGCTGCGGTGGGCTTCCAATCTGATATCAAAGTCCATGAGCCGAGAATGAAATGCAGAGCTTGTAATTTTTAGATATCACGGCAGCATCGATTTGTGTCATTGGGTCATATAGAACATGTGGATTAATGTTGAAAGCATGTCTGTTCTGTCAATGTGATGAGACTGTAGGGTGCTGTCATTAACATGTAATTGTTTCCGGCTATGTAAGAGTCAGTCCAGAAGTGTTTGTTTTTGGGAAGATATGCTCTCTCCAACGTTTAACATTTGACATACGCTTTTGTATGCAATCAAACCCTTATTCGATCGATGCGTACCACTTGTAACAGCTGTGTTATCAAAATAAAAGTGGCAGGCAGAGAGAAACTACAGTGGTTGCTAAAACATTATGCGTGTGTTGTAGACACCTTGCATGGGCAGAGTTGAGGGTAAAATTCTAACATTGCTCATTGGTATTATGTTTATAATAATAATAAATAATATACAACATTTGTATAGCGCCCTATATAATTTGTAAAATTACTCTAAGACGCTTTACAACATATGGATAATAGTAATGGTTATAATTGTGAAAACAACCAACAAAGGCTCCCAAAGCATCTGTTTCCGTAGGTCACAGTACGAGATTTTGGGACACACAACAAAGATTCTGACTCCAAGCGCAGTGATCTTGACGACTGATACAGGGTAACAAGCCCCTATAGGTACTGAGAAGCTGTTCCATTCAGT